TCAGGGTAAAAAAAAAAAAAAGGCTGCTGTGGGGATTGTAGTGAAAAGCAGGCAGACCCTCTTCCCCATCAGTGCTTCCCAGGGAGTATCCCAAAGGGATACCAGGCCATCCATCCAAATAATGGGGGGAGGGGAGTTGGGGGCAATGACATGACATGCAGGAACAGTCCCTAAGTTGATAGTTTCTGAGAAAAAGAATAAGGGGAGTTGAACTTTCCATGAACCATGTGATTCAGCCACAGTCTTATGCTGGAACATTTGCAGAAAGAAAATGTGACTGATGTAGTTAGAGATTCCAGTAACTGTGAAATCAATCTGCCTCCCTCTTCCTTCCTGCTGCTTATCCTTCATCCCCCTTCCCCTCCCATCACTCCTCCTCTTCCATCTCCCTAATTGCTTCTTTTCTTAGCTGGCGTGTGCTGTTCAGTGTGCTGTTCAGCTCAGCCAGGCAACTCTTCACGTCTCACTGACTCCCAGGCATGAGTCCAGCTTCGCACCCCCAAGCACATGTCCTGCCTCCCTGCTGGAGCAGCACCCAGCCTCCACTGCTGCACTTCCCTCAGTGAAAACACTGGAGCAGCCTCCCATCCCCTTCCCTCAGCCCTTCTAGATACCTCTAACATGAGGGTGTCTTAATTGCTTCCATCTCCTGTCTCAGGTGATCCAAGACGTGAAGGATAAGGCTTCAGGGCACAGTGACTGCTATGGCTTTGGGTTTTTTACTAAAGATATACATATATGTGTGTGTGTGTGTGTGTGTATGCGTGTTTGTGTATATATACACAATGGGCCACAATGGAATTAGAAATAAAATTAATTTGATGATTTTTTTGGCTCTAATTTGCCTCGCTCTGTTAAAAATTGTCTTGAGCTTTGTATCTTTTTGACCAAATTCCAGTCCTGGCACTGGCAGCTGGCAAACGTTTCCACACCCTTGCCCCTTGCCACCCACTGTCCCCAGTTGTCCCCTGGCACAGGGGGGCCGATAGATTAGCTAGGCAGGTGGTCCTCACTTATTGTTATGATTTAGGAGTGCAGCCTGTTCTGTAGCTCAGCTGGCTGCAGTGGGGATGCAGCACAGGCACAGTGGGAAGTACCTCCAGCCCCCAGAAGACAAGCACAGCACAACCAGCTTCTGGTGGCTCCAGGTGATGAATCCAAACTCCTTTTTCTCCAGCTCCCACCCCCTTCTACCAGCACTGAGTTTTTGCCACTTGAAACGAGAGGCAGCAAGGAGGAACAGACTGTGAATTTTATTCAGGAGTTACAACTTGGTGTCTTCAGACACAGCAGTGAAGCAAACGCCCCACTCCCCAAAACAGGGATCTCCCGGTGCTAGCTGACATGACGTCTGGTGCCAGTGTGTTCCTGTACTTGGGCAGCACACCTGTCTCCTCCTCACCCTGCTGACACAGGGCTGCTTTGGGGGACAGGGAGGGAGGCACCAAGGAGCATGATACCCAGCACAAGGACACCCACGAGCAGTGCAGGTGGCCCAGCAAAGGACAGTGGCTCTGCATTTGCCCTGTGGCCACAAGCGCAGACCAGCTGCCTGCAACCGCACAAGGGCAAGGACTGGTCCTTCAGCAGCTGCCATCCCCTCGGGTCCCCATTCGCATCCAGGGTGCTCAGGGAGGGACCGCAGGCTGCAGTGGCTGATCGCTGATGTCCCCACCAGGGGCCACTGTGACATTAAGGAAAACCAGACTGCCAGGCGTAGGAGGGGGCCGTGGGCTCCAACTCCTACAGCAGCCCAGAGGCTCCATGGAGCATCTGCCCTCCTCCGGGGCTGGAGGCTCAGGCCCCCGAGGTGAGTTTGTAAAAAAGAACGGCTGCATGTCAAGAGTGAAGGGGGCTGGGGGCGGCACTGTGGGGCAAGGGGCTGCTGTACACGGCAGTACGAAAATAAAGATACAAACAAGAAATGAAAAGGCTGGAGTGGATTGTTGGGATCACATCCTCAGACCTCTGGCTTGTAATAGCTAGAGAAGGAGAAAGAGAAAGAAAATCAAAGGCAGGGAAAAAAAAGCAACTGAGGATGGAGGGGAGAGTGAGAAACAGGAAAGGGGATATGACAGAGGAAATGAGAACAGAAGAAAGAGAAAAGAGATGAGGTGTGAGGGTGGGAGAACAGAAAAAGGAAGAAAAAGTCTGTGTGATTAGCATACACCGACTTTTAAGGTAATAGCACTCAGGTCCCACAGCCATGGACAACGAGGCTCTCGAAGGGAGGGAGAGAGAAATGTCAGCTAACAAGTGTCCTCCATCAGGACACATAGAGTGGCACTGAACACTTCGAGTTTTACGAGCACCCCACGTTTTCCAGTATGGAGAGGAATCCTTCTAAAACTTTCCATAGCTAGCCCCACACATGTCGGCCAGACAGCTTTCCTAAGCAGGAGGCAGAGCAGAGAGGCTCATCTTGCACACAGCTGTGAGAACATCTGGAGCAGGGACCGTCTGCTTCTGCTCTGCCTTCACCACCTTTTCCCACTGCACTCTCAGCCTGGCAGAGCCAGAGAGGGAAAAGCCCAGCGAAGTGAGAGCAGGGAAGGAAAAATAACAGGCTGCCTTCTGCAAACTGCTCTCGGGCTGGCAGGCAAAGGAGCTGCGGACGGCAGACTGGAGCAGCGATCTGGCATGCGTGTCACGCAGACACGTGGCAACACTCCCTCCCTCCCCAAACCACCCCTGCCTGCTTTGCATTCATCTCCACCCCTCTCCCAGCTGCACTCTCCTTTCTGCTGCCAGAGCCTCTGGTCCAGAGCCATAGATCTGGTTGGGAGGTAAAGGCACACATAGGATGAGAATAGGTAAAACCACCTTAGGGATGAATCAACCTCCCCTCCCTCCTTCCCCTCCCCAAGCTCTACAAACCGGGGCCATACCCACAAGAGGGAAGTGAGTCACTCATGCAGAGCTCAGGCTGGCAGGAGCTGGGAGTGCAGACAGGTAACATACCTGCAGAGGAGGAAAAGTGAGGAGCAGAGAGAGACCACTCTGAGCCCTGGGGGACAAAGAAAGCAGAGGGAAGGATGCTGGAGGCTGGCAAGTGGGGCAAGATGGGAGGTAGATGACAGTGCTGGGATGGACACGGAAGGAAGCAGAAAGGAGGGTCCACAGAAAGAGAGTTTAGTGCAATCCCGAATAGATGGACAGTCTGCAAATAAAAATATAACCGTAGATAAACCAAACAGTTTAAAATACAAAGCAGCAGCCATGGTAACAGCTCTCCCCTGTCAGCTTTATCTCCAGAGACTCCAACTCCAGGAGAGGACAGCCCCCACACCCCACACCTGCTCTAGGCCTTCTCTGCTGCTAGCTGTGAGCTCTCACCAGAAAGGTGGACGGGTCTATGCCTGGGGGGTTATTATTATCATTTTCCTCAAGGATTTGCTGCACCTTTCTCCTCTGCTTCTGCTTCTGCCTCTGTCTCTGCCTCCTCCTCCACCTCCTGCTCTTCCTCCTCCAGGTCCTCCTCTGTGCTCTGTGGCCCAGCATGCAGGACAAAAGGAAGAAAGAGTGGAGATACTTGCAAGGTGAGCCATGGCAGTTCTTTCTGACACGCAAGGGAATAAAGCAATGGTCATGACACTGGAATAAAAAAAGAACCTTTCCCCATGGCCAAGACTGCTCTGGGTCAGGGACCAAAGACTTGTTTTCCTCTGGAGCATCACATCAGGGGTATCTAACCCACTTGAAAGTGCTGTGATCCCACTTCCCAACAACTGCCATTAGTTGCTAGTGCTCCTTCCTGTATTCTAGGTGTCTACAGGATCAAGCACTGCCACAGGTTTCTGTCCTTCCCACAAAAGGGGAGCAGGAGATCTCTGCCCCTTAGGCTGAGACTCAGAAAAAGGAAATAGAATGCTGCAAAACCTGTAGGGA